TCACAATGACATCATACCCAGGCCCTACAGGTCACAGCTGAGGTGTACTGGAGTAGTCTCAGCATGTTGTGCTTCTGCCTTATCTGTACCGCATCTTGTCCGAGTATGAAAATAGGACTTCACTCTGCACAACTTTCAGGAGAGCAGCTTTCAGAATTATTGAAATCATTCTTTAAGAGCAGATGTTTCCCTAATATAGTTACAACTGGAAGATGTTACTGCAGCATCAGAAAAAGAAAACACGTTCCTGTAATTAGAGCTCTTTGGATATTGATTTACCATGAAAACGAAGATATTAAAGAACTGTTTTGCAATGTGTAACTTGTGAAATATCTGATTGGTATTTCTTTTTTGCAGAACCAAACTGAAGAACCATGAATATGAAACTTTAGATCAGCTGGAGGCAGATCTGAACTTGATGTTTGAAAATGCCAAGCGCTACAATGTTCCCAATTCTGCTATCTATAAAAGAGTACTGAAAATGCAGCAGGTTATGCAGGTATGTGTAGTAGAACAGTGAAAAGGATATAACTTCATACATTAATTTATTTCCCTAATAAATATTTTTCAAAAATATTTTTTAACTAGACGTGTATTTGGAGTATCATTTTCTTGCTTAGGGGGAAGTATGGGAATGAAGAGCATCATAGGGTGATTTTTCTTCAGCACACCTGCTGCCTTCTGTGATTTTTTTTTTGGTCACTGTTATTCCTTACTATGACTCTTAACCCAATTAAGTTGCAAGAAAATTGATGATGTGGGGTTTTTTTAGGGTTTTCAGGTAATTGGAAGATGCTAAAGTGCTTCAAATTTCATGAAGTGTTCCAGCTACATGCTCCAGTCTGAAATGGCATTGTTTTCAAATTGGTTCCTCAAATACTTTTTCTGACAGTTAAAAAGAATTATACTGCTGTTTTATGTTGGCCATCTTATATTAAATACATCACTGGAAATATTTTGATGGTGATTTAGTCTCAAAATCCTTAGTTACACCTTTCTTTGTGCATCTGATCTGTTCTGATGTTTAATACTGTTTTGGAAATGTCCAGCAGTGAGTTTGGCTTCAGGGATTTGTTCTTTTTTCAGGCAAAGAAGAAGGAGCTTGCTAGGAGAGATGACATTGAGGATGGGGACAGTATGATTTCTTCTGCTACATCTGATACCGGAAGCTCAAAAAGAAAAAGGTATGTACTTCTGTAGTTCCTGCAGACCATGACTTTGCTACATCTTTTATTTGTTAAAGAGAATATTCAGTCATGGCTTTTTGTGTAAGGATTTGTAGTTCTGCAACTTAACCTTATTAAGTGTTGGTTGTAATTAATTTGAAACTGTTTGCTGATTTTTATTTTCCTTTTTTGGCCTATTAGTGGGCAGTTGTCAACATAACTTCAGGAAGTGGCACGGGCACTGTAGTTGCACTGAGTTAGGTAATTTTGCCAGTGGATTTCAGGATTTTTATTTGTGGTTTGGTTTTTTTTTAGTCTGATGTGTGGACTGTCTTCACAGGTTGTTAGCAATTATTGCTTCTTTTCTACTACTTCTCCAGCTAGTAGTTTGGGTGGCAATTTCAGAATATAATTAAAGCTAACACTATAGTTGAACAAATTTTTTGAAAGTTTATAGTATTAATCTACAAATATTTTTATTTGGTAAAGTCTCCTGGCATAAACATTTTTATTTTCCGTGACCTGAACTCTGGTTGAGGAGTTTTCATTGTTGATGCTAGAGGACTGCTTCTCTCCCCCTTTTGAATTTGCAGTCTTCTATTACTCACCTGTTGGCAGCTGAGCTGAAGAAGGTATTTGACAGATAGATAAACTGAGTATAATAGGTTGATTATTCTGGATATTTTAACGTAAACAAAATTCACAGTTATTCAAAATATACTCTTTTAGTAAGCAATAATGGTGGTTTATGGAAAGTATTCTTTAAGAGTGATAGCTGTGGTGTAATTAAAATGAGTGATGCATTTCACCCCAACAAGGGATAGTTTCACTAGTCTGCCTTGTGTTATAATTTAAAGTAAGTTCTAACTTCTGATAATATTGTTGCAATAGCAGGAACTGCCAGTGTAAAACTGTAATTCATAATCTTTCTTTGGTGTTGATTACAACCTTCAGCTTCCTGTATTTTTGGTTCTTTTTTTTTGTCACAGTAACAGCAGTTGGGAGGGGGGAAGGGAATGAAATAGAGCGTCAGCAAAGATCCACTTAAGAGCAATCAAGGAAGTGCAACAATGTACACTCATAAAAAATCTGCAGAGAGAAACTGTTAACGTGGATTTAGGAGGTGGTGCAGTCTAGGGATGGTAGGAAGGAGAAATGTAGTGGGGTGGTAAGACAGAGCACCAAATAAAGAACAGGAAGAAATAAATTGCAAAAATTACTAGTTTTGTGATCTTCAGATTCAAAGAGTATTAACCTAATTGAGCAAGTCAAACTGTCATGTGTCCTTTTAACCCGATGTAGCTTTTGGTCACCTTGTGCAAGATAATACTGAAATGCTTAAAAGAAAAAAAATCTGTCAGGCCTTGTCATCTAAGAACAGTAAAAGAGAAAAAGTTGTGTTCATAGGTAAGGGAAATCAAAGTGATTTCATTTTCTTCATGGCTGAAGAGAACCTGAAAATGCTTTTGATGATGTCAGTTCAATACTTGTTATCAGTTTCACTTGCTGAATGATAGGAAGTAAAAGAAGATTGGAAATGCTGCTGATAGCAGAAGCGAAGCCTGAGAGGAAATCCAAAACGTTGCTGAAGAAGGAAACTAAGAACCCAGGCAAAATTCATCCAGTTGGGAAAATAATAGTGTCACAGAAGAAAATCGTTTAAATGTCCCGTTTTTATGTATCGGATGCATGACCTGAATCTTGAGTATTGGCAGGCCTTTTACTATTTCTGCTTTGGTTTTGCTTTACCTACTTTAATCGAACAAAATGTTAAAACTTGGAAACATGTTAAAATGTAGACCTCGGAAGCATGTCTCTGCTCTGCATTGCTGATCTGCCAGTGTGAACCACTAACTAACATTTTCCAGCAGTGAAGATAATACAGAAAAAAGATAATTAACCTATAGAAGATACATTTTGAATTTTCTGACATGTTGTGACATTAATTTTCATTAGTTATCTCTTGCTCCTTGGTGAGGTCAGCAAAATATCTGAGGCATGAGGTTATGCTGGATTAGGTATATTTTAAATGTAGGAGGAAGAGATCTAGATGATGGAAAATTTGTGATGCAGTTTGCTTTCTAGCAAGTTGTGCAAATGAAGGTAGTTTTGTTGTTGTTGTCCTTACAGATACTATAGCCAAAGTTGTAACTACTTGAATAAGTGTTGTAGAGATTGCAATTTGGAAGCCGGTTTAGAAGTGCTTTGTAGAGAGTCCATTTCTAAGAGTGCTGTGGTATCTGAGCTGACATTATAAATTATTAATATAAGATTTCCTCTCTGTTATCTGATTTGCCTATAGATCTTGTAGTATATGTACAGGGAGCCGTGCATAGCTGTTTTCCTGATAAGCTGTGTCTTGGTTGTGCTGTCAGATTTCTTGAGAGAACCATAATAGCTACACATAGGATGACATAAAGTTCATGGTGGTAGCGTGTACGTGGCCGTTTTCTACCTGGATGTGCAGTTTTGGTGAGCTTTATTGACTTGTAATTTCATTTGACTGTGGTTGACAGATATTTAAGCAATTCAGACCTTCTTTATTACATTCTTGATGTCCTTGTATCCTTGTATCTAGTACTGAAGAAGATACAGAATTGCTCTGAGATAAATAGCTCAGGTCTTTGATATTCTGTATTAAGGGGAGGTAGTGAAGAAGATTACTCTGAGATAAATAGCTCAGGTCTTTGATATTCTGTATTAAGGGGAGGTAGTGAAGAAGATTACTCTGAGATAAATAGCTCAGGTCTTTGATATTCTGTATTAAGGGGAGGTAGTGAAGAAGATACTGCCTGAGGGGTTTTTCCCTGTTAGCACTAGATCTTGAGGTCCTGGATTGAGATGCCTAGTCCTGACTGATCTGTTTTCTCTGCAGCTAGAAACTGCTTAGAGCCCCTTTTGACCTTCACACTTTTGAAAACTAGTTATTGTTTTATTCTGTGGAACACTTAAACTTAAGGTGAATGAGAGGAAAGTCGTATCTTAAAGTTGGTTTCCTGCTTATTTAGCAGACTGCTATGTGATTTGGAGCTGAGAACCTTTGAGAA